TTAGTCTGCAATTAAATATTTGATTCCACGCTAGAGTGTAATATAAATCGCAATTTTACGAAATAAAAATAATAATATTAAGTTATTCGTTTTTTATCGGCCTTTTCTTGAAAAGGAAACGAACGCACTGTTTACTAGACTTTGCGATCGATGCCTTTTTTAGCCGCGCTGTAACTGGGTCACGCACTCGCGTCTCTATAGATTTATAGTGCACACACGCACACCCACTCTGCTTCCGGTCGTGACGCCACTTCTCTTCGCCAACTACATCCCAGACAGTGCCGTAAAGTTCGTTGGCATTATCTAAAGGTAGTAGACCGAGCAGGTTATACATTTTTTAGACTCTTCTAGACGCGTGACTGGAAAAGACTAATGCTAACGCGATAAACTATATCATCTTGAATTATGCGACACTCAGATAAATATTGAATTATTTTTTATGCTCACTGGGTTGCTTTAAATCTCGTTTAATAGCTTTTTTCTTGCGTCGAGGAAGAAAAATCCATTTTCTGCCATGAACAGACACATGTGGGTGATGTGCATTGTCCTATGATGATTCGTGGAACCGGAGGGGGTTTGACCGGATGAGATCGAGACGGTTTTAAAGTCCGTGTCTGTGATCTTTCTACAGCTGATTGTGAGTCGTGAATTAGTTTCGGCGCGTTGCTCGTGCATTCGATATCGGCTCCTCCCAATCTCATAACATTTTCCGGTTCGCCTACGACGTACTGATAAGCCAGGAAGCTCTCAACGAAGATGAACAGCAACAAGTTGTTATAACAATATAGAGAAAAGAATATTAGAAAGATACACGTTAATTTTTATTTCAAACCTAGGCGATTATTTAGTTATGAATGTCTAAGAGTTACAAGCGTTGTACGCCAACCACGAGCTAGTACGTGTGATTGTGAAATTTTTAAATTTTATTGTTAGCTTCGATATACAGTTTACTCGAGCGGTCGCATTTCGAGTCAGTTCTGTTATCGAGCAAAGCATAGCCGAATAACCGATAAAACGTTTGCGTCATAGCGCCACCTGCGCCAGGCATGCATGGCCTGTTGCGTAAATATGCTTGTATGTTGAATGTACAGAATTTGTCGTAAATTTGCGCACGCGTGAGCATCGAGAGGCAACATTGCGTAACGTGATATGTGGAATACGAGTATTCACATTGTCGCCCATAAAGCATAATGCGATTAAAAATTTTTTAGATCAACAAGAATCTGTCTCCTATGAACCAATATATATTATTCGTCTTTTAAATTATGCAGGATGCAAATTATTATGCAGGATGTTGAAAAAAGGATATAATGTTCATTGAACTAATTGTAATAAGTAAAAAATACTTAACATAGGTTGAAAAATTGACTCGCTGTGAATTTTTATGATAGAGGCGATTTACTTGTCTATCGCGTAAAGAAGATCATATCTTATCCTATTCTTACCTTGATATCTGTAAAAGATGTAGTAAGCGATCTTCAATTTTTTTATATATCCTACATATCTACGTTTCATACAATCAGGTACTCTATCAAAAATTTCTGGGTTTGGCCGTATCACTTGGCAAGTATATTTTCCACTCGATTATCTTATCTCTCATCTTGTTTCAATACATAAATATCACTCTCTGTTAGACAGTATTCAAATCAGATTTTCGTTGAGAGATGAATAAAACCAGATAGGTCTGTCGTCTGAGTCTCAGATCTCACTAATTTAAATTGTCTAAATTTTCTTTTCAAAAGGACATATTGAAAACTTATTACGCATGTCAAAGAGAAATGTTATATAAAAATTGCTACATATTTTAAATCCTCAGAAATCCTTTTCTTCAATACCCTGTTAATATGCAATATTGCAATCGAGGTCGGGCATAAATGCTTTAATGAAGGAAATCATAAAAAAACAGCGAAAAAAATAACCCAATAAAGATATAACGTAAGCAAATCCTGTTTACGTGTAGAAAAAAGAAGTAATATTCATCAGAAGTGAGTACATATACATATACTTCCGTGCTTGCATTACTCACGCAAGAAGCCGAAGCCCGGTTCGCGTTGTTTCATGCAAAATTAAAACCGCTAACTCGTTGAACCGTGACTTGTACGCGTTCTCGATGCGATCGCGATAACGCTCGGCCGCGTATAACGTAACAGAAAAAAAATTCGCTTATCTGGGACGCCAGAGATTCCTCGAGCCGGCAATCGTTCACAGTTCTCGATTTCGTAATCTCGCTTTGCCGTATCAGTGTCCGATTGCTGTCACCTCTTCCCCGCATAACCCCACCACCGAAGGCTTCATCCTTCTCCTGTTTCCCGTCTCTGAATGGAGGCGTCAAAGAGTTCTTATCGACTGCCGGAGAACGCTGTATTACGTCATACGCGGGGCCACACCGCAAATCTGTTGTCCACCGCGCGCGCGCGCGGGCTCGCGAGCAGCGGTTGCCTGCTAACTATAATTATACTGCCGGTACTATAATTGCGTCGCATGCGGTGTGTGCTATAAAATTTTACGTGACGTAGAATTCACAAGCTCGAAATCGGAATTATGATTCTGAAAATCGTTATTTCATCGTTTCTACGATAGTCCGCGTAATGGATCATTGATTGCCGATTTCCCGTTATCGTCTCAGTTTTCTTCTGTTATTACGATTAATCTTTCACCGTACGATCTGTGTCGTAATTGTCCTCTCGTGCTCCAGCAGTCTTGCGAACAGCATAGAGAAACTGCAAAAAAACTCCTGACAGTATCCGCGCGTGATTATTCGCTGCCGAGAGAGCCGCTGATGGCCATCGCCTTCGAGAGCGGTCAACAATTTTTCAACGACATGTTATCGCGCCTTGGAGAATGTCGCGGCGCTTATCGCTCGCGCGAGCGAGCAAACGCGCGTACGATTGTCGTGTCGTGTTAACGCGCTCAGGGGTCTCTTTAAATGCATGCATCCAGCGCGTGTTCCCCATTCGCGCTCACCAGGCCGAGCTTCATTCACGCGTCCGAGATTCGAGACCGGATGTCGTTCGATGCCAGCGATTCGATATCCCGTGTGGCGTTTTCGATCGTGCAAAGGTCAACGCGGGTTAACTTCAAACTGCGAAATAACTATATTATTCGTCGAATATCACAGAAGGAGGAAAAAGGGGGAGAACGCATCTCGATTACTTAATTATCGCGTTGCGTGAGTTCGCATGCACTCGAATGCTAATACATATAATAATACTGGTGCTAATTAAGTGCCTTTTAAAAAGGAATGGATTCTCTACGGGCGCGTAATTTTACAAGCTCGACGTAAATCTTTATAACCCCCTTTGTATTGATTATGATTTTTCCATCACTTGGAAAAAGTATAATTATTTAGCGTAATAAATTAGCATAAGTGAGAAAAATCGATACCGGGCAAAGTGCCAATCAGGAAAAGTGACTTCCACCTCGAAGATAAACTAAATATCTATATATGATTATAATTGGTTATTTTTAAACACCTTCAGATCGCTTACTCGTCCGATTAAAGTCGTGCGTATGAACTTATTGCGGATTGTTTCGCAAAGACAAATTTCGCCGAGTTATCGCCGAGTTATTCAAGCATTCTTCTTCTTTCCGGTTTTTATATTTTTCCGGTCTTTCACATTTCCGATCGCAGCGCGCCTCTCAATTATCTTTTCAACGCACTCGTCGTCCGTAAGGTGAAATTCCGTTGCGTGTGCGCGACTCGGTAAGTAGCGGTCTATCAGAATCGTTTGCCGTGCGTGTCCGCCCACTCACTGCCGCCACACACGTTGTCGCTGACGCAAGCTGCATGCACACTAGATCGTAATAAAACCGTATTAAAATACAATCTGTAAAATATAGATTTATTACGTAACGAGTACATTTACAATTATATGGCTCGTAGATGTCGAATACACAATTTCGGGTGAATAATTCCACAGCCACGCTTGACAAAACATTTTCCTTTTCTCGTGAATTAATCGCTAAAAGTTACAAACAGATACTTGGATCTTTAATTATGTAATGATAAGAAATTCTTGCCAAAGTAAAGGCGTTCTTTTTTTGTGATAATAAATTTTGCGGCACCAAATATAATAGAGTATTATTGTATGGACGTAGCTTAACGCTACATTCGCGAAGCAACTGCGCAACACATAGGAGCTAATAACGCTTATAAGTGAAGGTTGTGATGCTAGAGCGAAGACACGGAATACGTTATTTCATTGCGGCTTGCGGATATTCCTCACGCATCCTGTAGCAAGTGCAGCGGTAAATAGAACTGCCTTACGAAACGTTTCTTTTGAACTCTCTTGTCTATCGTAACGTCCTGTTCAAGTCTATTACATTGTTGCAATTGCAATTCATAAATATGCAAAACATCTCATAAAGCCGAGGTTGTTTCAGCTTCAGCTTTCAAAGTTTTGTTAAATAATTTATCATGTACTTTTCAATTTTTTATATTAATTTTACAGAAATAGCTTGTTTTGAAAATAAGTAACTGGTATAATTCTTCAATTATTTTTTTGCTGTTAAAAGAGAGCCGCGATATCGCTCGTGACATCTTTATCATTGATGCCTGTCTGCCTATGCAGAACGCGCTATTGCATCAGAGCGAGAAAGAATGACAGAGACAGAGAGTCGGTTCGCAGTAATGAATGGATTAAACAGCATGACGTCACAGGATGGATTATATAAACGGTGGCGCGCGTGACATCGGACGTATAGGAAGGAAGTTCGCTTCCTTTCGTACCTACAAGGTATTCCGTTCGCGCTTGTATGTGTATACGTGTGCGCATGTGCGCATGGTGCGGACCGTTTCGTTGCTGAGGGGTCGTTCATTTGAAAGCGGACGAGCCCGGTTAGAATCCTAATGACAGTGCCGCCCCTTTTCAGCTCCTCCTCGATACAATAGCTGCCGGTTCGCGAAGCGTCGAACATTGTAGCACAGTGCGAAATTATCGTACACTGATTGCGATAATTCTGATGTATGATCTAATTGTTGGTTTTACGTCTGTTTGCAGGCTGCGTATACGTGCAACATGCGTGCGTCCCGTACAAAAAACACCCCGGCGGCTTCGAACGAGATGGTGAGTCTTTTTTGCTTTCATATAATTATCCGAATAATTTTTCGGGGAAAAAGATGCGTTCCGCACGCGTGATCCGCGCATTACGCTTTGGAAACTTCCGTTAATTCCGGTCAATGAGATCGCATCTAAGATTATTTTACGCTTCTTGTTTCGAATTCATTAATTCAAGATGTTCTTTAAAATGTAAATCGGTATATGATAGATCAAAAAGTAATAAATTATCCTATTAACTACACTACTATTAGATTATGTATGGATTAAATAACTTAATAACACGCTACATTTTAATTATACATACTAATATATTATGAGATTATTAATAGTAGAAGGTCTTTCTATAATTTACACTCGTATGTATGTAGATTGTTTCAAGTAACATTTTCTGAATTTTTGAATGAAGAAAAAGGTGATAGCATTAGTGATTTCGGTACATTTGAGATGCTAAAATATCATTATTTTACTGATTATATTTCAGAAATAATAGCTTTCATTAAAAATGTAAATTTATTAATTAACAAAATTGCGCGTTGATTTTTTAAATTTGATTCAAGTTACGTTGTTTTATTAACACACTGCTGTTATATCTCAAGCTTCCAGCGTTAAAAATATGTCGTTCGACCATATGACACTTAAGGTCCCGACAGACAGACAGATATTATCATAACCGTTCCCACATATATGCAGATATATTTGGACTGGGTAGATATATTTTTACGCGCGCAAGACGAAGACGAATTCAGTTTGCTCGCTTTAATGAAGTTTTGTTGAGGCATCGGCTAGACGAGAATCGAGCGACCCAATTTTTGAGATCTTTAGTCGCGCGCGACGCGACATAGGGAAGCACGTGTTCACACGGAAATTCTCACTCGCTCCCATCCGTCCCGGTTCTTCAGGGTTTTCGCTAGCTCCTCGCGCTGATTATTAGCGCATAGTCTGGGAGCTGTCTGCGGGTCGACGTCCCGGCGTCCCGGAATAGAAACGCGGCGCGATGCTCGTTACATTCTGTCACCTACGTCGCGTCGACCGAATGCGCTAGTGGATCTCGCGATTTCCGGGCCGGCGCTACGCGACAGAGAAAGATGACAACGGCGGTCGATATGCTGCACAATTACTTCAAAAAAATTATTAGGAAGTTAAATATGCGAATACATATATCACGCGTTTAAAGACACATAAATTTTCTTAATCATAAATTTTATCGAAACTAGAAAAATTATTAATTAATGTTATATTGCAATAAAAATATTTTTAAAAATATTCGAAAAATTTTCTGAATTACAAACAATTTGAGAATTTTTATTTGTCGCTTCAATGCAATTTTTCTAAGCACGCGCTCTGAAATAAAAGATTGCCATTTCCGTTACGCGATCGTTAGCACTAACGATCGCCGGTTCAAAATCTTGACCACAAGTCCCGCTTGATCGTTGCGTTTCTTTCGGTTGCATCATCTCGGCAGCTCAGCTACTCCACTTTTTTCCTCCGTCGCCCGGTAATACATCACGATGATCACCTCAAGACTGGTTAACAGTCATCCTCCTCGAAGGGCAGGTGCGTAGGCTCGCTTTGTACGTAAAGGGAAAAGGGCAGCTGCCTGCTCCTAGACACAAGGAGACGAAGGGCAAGCAAGCGAAAGGGGGGAGGGAGGGAGAGATGGGGGGGGGAAGAGAGAGGAAGAAGAAGAAGAAGGGCGAGAAAGGGAGAGGTGGCTCGCTGCTAAGGTAAACGATATAATGGGGACGTAACAGTGGGTCCTTTTCAGTGGCAGATGTCCTGGTCGAGACACGTGCCCACGACGTAGTAGTCCCCCTTTTTCGGGGGCCCGCGGCCCCTTCTTCGTCGTATCGCGCTCAAGGAGGAACGAGAGCGGAAAACCCCCGAAAAAGAAGGGGCCTCGCCGCGTAGTAAGACCGCGCGTTCTACGTCGCGTCGCTTCCTTTCTTCCGTCCTTTTTCTTTCCGCCCGTGCCTCTTTTCTTTTCCAGCGGCACCAGCTGCTCTCGTTATACAGCGGATTTCGCACCGGTGTAACGGCGAGGTCCGTTGCTTCGCGCCCCATTGTATTTGCGCGACGAGATCTTGCACGGACCTTCGCCGATCTGAGGATGCCGCCTTCCGGCGTTTTCTACGAAGTGGAATTTTAATGTGCAAAGTCGGGGAGCAGTAATAAATTGAGTAACAGTCGTTCTATTAGAAAGAAATTAATAATAGAAGTAAGTTTTATCATGATCTTACAAGACTCTTACAACTTCACTTGAACATTATTCTTTATAATCATGAAACTTTTTCAACACTGATTTTAAAAAATTACTTGAAATAATTTACGCACAGCGTCAAAATTGCCGCGATATAGTCATTAAATTTTAGCGAGTTAGAATAGCCAGTGCAATATATACATATTTTGGATAAATGTCAAATTTACTTGAAATCTTTTTAAATTGCATCATCTCGTTCTGTGCGATAGCATCACGCTATTGCGTTCCTCGATTTCTCAGATGCCATCTCGATCTGATTACGGCTAAGAAAATCGTTAGCGACGAGATACTGAATATCGCGCGAATAGAAAGAATTCAGAGTAGGTTAATGCCAACCACTTGAATTTTTTCGAAAAGCAAACGCTGCCAAATTTCTTTGGAAGGCGAATACGTGGTGTATTAAGCGTTCAACAGAATGCTGTTTTCTTTTGCTGGCTTAAGAGCGGTTCGGACGAAAAACGATACTTTAGGTTTTCTAATAATGTCAGAAAAATTTCTATACGACATATTTCTTGCAGATGTGGGATTTGCTAGATCATTGTATAAACATATATTATATAGCAGTTCCAAAACCGTCTATCTTATGCTAGTCTTATTTTCAAAAACTTATAAATCATATTTTACTTTATTTAATGAAAAAAAAGAGACTAGTAATGTCCAATTTTCTTGCGTTTTTAAGATTAAAATTAAAATTTATAGAAAAATTATGCGGTTTTCAATATTATAGCAATTAATCTTACTTGTCTCGTCATCGAGAGAGAATATCTCACATTTTGCCTTCAAAATGTCTTAATTCAGTTCTCGTACATGTTGCACATCTAAAGCGAGCTTTACGCCGCGTTGTCTGAGAGCCGCTGCGCGCCGTGCGACTTTTTGAGTCGCTTTGGTCCCACGCCGGGACTATGGACGGTGTATACACGTATTTATACATATACATATATACATATATCCACGTACATAGGTATACGGCTGATGCACTCGCGCGCAGTTACGCACATACGCCTACGGCAAAGCCCTATTTTACACACGCCGCGTACATTACACGCGATATATCGAGCGCGCATTCCCGATACCATTACGCGACCGGCACCGCTCGACGCTCGTCGATATTCGCTGTGATCGCGATGGGTATTCGTGCGTGCGTTAGATACTCTGAAACTTGACCGAGCAGCTTAGCCTTTCTTAGTTGGAACCGACAGAAAGAAGATGCCTTCCTTCTATGACTAAATAATTCTAAAGTGAATTAAAATTTAAATTGTGTAGTAAAAAATCACTTGAAACTGAAGAATCGAAGATTTTGTCATTTATTTTCTCTTCTGTTTCTTAATTTGCTAGACGTCTTTTATTTATAATCATGAGTTATTTGAAAACTATGGGTACCTCGATATATATGATATTTACTAAAATACTGTTAAACATGCTTCTGGTAAACAGTTGTAATCAGAAATGCGATTTATCGCGAGAAACTCGCAATCGTAAAATAATACCCGCATTGACTTACCCGCGTGCGATTACAGCTTGCATGCATATATAAACGATGATGCATGTTCCTGCTTATATCTTCCATAAATGCTACTTCAGACACTAGAACCATCCTCAGGAAAATATGTTAATATCTTCTTGACAAAAATTTTTTACCGCTATTTGCCGTTATCTTCGAAAAATCAATATTTTAAGTATTTAGCAATTAAAGCCTAAATCTGATTTTCTCTCGAAATAAAATTCTCTTGAAATTCACTGAAGATGATTTATACTTTTAAATATTATAATTATCGAAGCTCTTTAATTCCGAAATTATTGCATAATCGTGCTTAAATCTTCGGCGAGAAATTTGGCATAGAATCTGTCATTGTAGATTGTCGCGTACTTGTGAAACATGCCCTAGAGTTATTGACGCGCGTACGAAATTACGATAAATAGTCATAAATTTTGTCAAATATGGAAGACAATGACGCTCTACGAAAGACGTCATCAAATTTCCGTGCAGGTCCATGAAGGAAGAAAGTCTACTTATAACTTTACTATCGCGTGAGGAAGGGATCAGGCCAGGCTTTTGACTGTAAAGAAAACAATGTTATTGGAGAAAACCATGCCAAGGTCCTGCTACCTTATCCTTAAATCCAGAAGATAAACGCCATATGGTTGACGATTTTTTAAGATTTTTATGTAGACTTAATGGTTAATAGATATAGCTGATATCACGTACTTTTCATCTTGCAAACATATAAAATTCTAAAACTCGTGAAACTTGGTAATTATACAAAATTTAGAAACTTTATATTTTGACTAAATTGTAAAATATTGATCGAAAGCAATTAAGAAAAATATTAATTATTTTTGGCGTATTTTTTTTCTTGGAAAAAAAAACAATTTCGTGCAAATCAAGTCTATTGTGACATTGATCTACAAATCCATAATTGAGAGCAAAAGGACGACTTGCTGAGAACCTCTGCGGCTACTTCGATTCTGCTTCGACTTCCTTCGACCCGAATGCAGTGACCCGTGCTAACGATCGCGAATAGCAACGATCGATCTTCACGATCCGGGGTGCTGTGCCAAGCGAAGAAGTCGAAGACCTCTCTTCGTGAAAGTACCTACATCGGAATTCCGTCATATCCGAGACGAGCGATTTCGTTTCTTTGCTTCCAATTTTTTGCTCGTTCCGCTCTATCTCGTTTTCTCCGCTGCCGGTGTCGATGGCTTTGAAAATATTCGCCTCCGAATAGTCCATGAATAATTGCAAACGGAA